TCCAAATGCTGCCATTGTTTACAGCTATTTTCCAACTTGGTTCTCTAGCCTTTTCCTTGATTCTGTAAGCTCCCTATAGCCTACCTGCAACCTCACAAATTCCCTTTTCTGTTTAGTTAGCCAGAGATGGTTTACGTTGCTTACAACCAAAAATTTTGGATAGAAAGCTAAGTTCAAATGTCCTTTCTTTTGCAAGAGAGAGGGAGAGAGAGAGAGAGAGAGAGAGAGAGAGAGAGAGAGAGAGAGAGAGAGAGAGAGAGAGAGAGAGACCCAGACCCCTAGTTCTGTGCAAGCATACTGCTCCTTGCATTTCTATAGCACCATCTACAAAGTGCAGCTCAAACTAGGGATTTTTTCATTCCTTCCACTGGGGTAAGAACTCATATTGGTCTCATCCTTGTGAGCTCAGGACTCACTACTTCTGTGCCTGGTTCAGAGTCAAACAACTAAGGTGACAAACATCTAAAGAATAAATTAATGGACTGGTAGCTCTGCCTTGCACACGCACACCCCATACCCTTACTAGTAGTTTCAGTGGTTTGGACAGGCTCTCATCAGGCCACAAAAATGATGCCAGCACCTCCCTCCCTTGTGAGGCTGGCTGGGAATAACATGGGTAGGTTTCTTTTGGGGACCCTCATTCTTCCTGTGCTGTGGGAGACGGGGAGGAAGGAGGAAGAAAAGCAGGCAGGAGTGGGGGCAGGGAGGTGGCTGTTGTAACAGCTCAGGTAGAAGGCGATGGTTGCAGTGGGAATGAAAAGGGAAAGGGGCCGACTGATGAGATCGTGAACGAGGCACTAGAAGTGAATATGAAACTCAATTGCTTCTTGTAATTCTCAAAGCAAAAGCTGGCCACATGAGATAGCTTCCCTTGGAAGGAGGTGGTGAGGGAGCACGTGTATGTGCGTGTGCATAGGGGCGGGTGTCACACCGGCTCCAGCATCCCCCTCCTGCCAACAGCCACGCACATACCGGCTGCCTGGCCTGTTTTCAAAAGAGCTTCCCCAAGCAGCAGGGGAGAGTGGAGAAGGGGGGCTAGCCACCCATTCTACTCAGCAGAGGTGAGTGAGGAGCATTGGTCCTCCAGTCACCCTCCCCCCAGCCACTACAGGCTGCCAGGTGCCTTGTTTGTGATGAAAGCTTTTAAAAACCCATGTGCATGGATGGTCATGCATTCCTTTTTGTTCATTTAACTAATATTCACTGAGCCTGGAGCACACAATTGTGAGCAAAGCCCGCCATGGACCCCGCTCTCAAGAAGATCCTGAGCTGGCGGGGGAGAAGATGCGCAATCAGGCAATTAGGAACCAGTGTGAGCCGGAGGTAAGTGCTGGTTGCTATGGGAACACGAAGAGAGGCCACAGCTGCTGCTCCTCTCCAAAGAGCGAAGAGCAGTGGCAGGCAAAAAAAGGAGGCGTAAAGCAGGCCGACCTGCTTGCCAGGCCCATCTCCACCCAGCCTGGCCAACTAGTCCAGAATGGAATCCTCTGGCACGACAAGACCCATCATCTCTCTGCCCCTCCATCTCCTTGCCTAAGAAAATAGGAGAAAGCATGAAGCAAATGCCACGTGCGACCCTATATGTTTGTGCCTGGCCCCTGGTAGGTCTATGATATGTCGTGGTAGCTACTAGGAATTTTCTTTTTTCAAGAAATATCTGTTGATATTTCTGGATATCAGAGGTAGAGCTATGAAGAAGATAAGCAAGGCCCCTGCCCTCAGGGAGCTTGTAATGATTTGGGGGCAACTTGTTACACAGCAATAGTGACTACTACATACCCTTTGACCCAGAAATTCCGCTTCAGTGTACATACGCTAGAGCAGTTTTTTTTACCAATCACATGAGAGCATATGCTGAAAATGCTGATATTTGCACCAGCTCTCTGGGATGAACAGTCTGCTCTCAGCCAGAGGCAATAGTCTCTGGGGCAGCATCTGGGTGAAGCCAGGTCCATCTTCCTGGGAGGCTGAAAGGATCAATATATCAGAACACTCATTACCCAGTTGGGAAGCTCTGCCCCAGAGAAACTCTTCCATATGGCCACAAAGAACCACGCACTAGGGTGGCTATTAAATCATCACTTATAATTGCA